TTTTGCGGTCTTTTCGCCCCTGAAGTAAAGGCGCACGGGAACGGTATTCCTAGGAGAGAGAGAGAGAGAGAGCGTACTTTTCAACACAATGTCTGGCAGTGAGCAACCACTGGCCACTGATAAGGGTTGCCCCACAAATGTTTTCACCACTGATATAGGCATAGAAAGGGAAGTCACCCCTCTTTGTCGACTGTCCATTAAGAATACGCATTTGAATACCAAACCACAGGTGTTTGAGTTGAGGGCTGGGATATTGGCTACCTGTGCGTGCCCTGAGAGTATGGCCCGTCTGACCCTATCTACAGGTGTGTCCATTGATAACACATATGATAACATACCTTAAGATTGCATTCAAACACACAATGAGTTTATGTAATACTAATTGAGTGGTTGTCAGGAAATACCGGTTAATATAAACAACAAATTCATGTCAAGAGTTCTCATTGAAATAAATCATAAATTTATAACGAATGAACAGTTAGTATAAAAAATAATCACTTTCTATTTATACCGTTAATAACAATTTGTCTATATTTTAAATCACTAATTGTATCAAGCGAGTAATATAATAATGAATTAAATTATTTAATAAATTTTTATAATTTATTTTTTAGTATCCAATTTTTATTTTGATAAACATTAACCCCATATATAAATTAGTGCCAAAAATTAATTAATTAAAACATACACAAATATAAGCTTTATAATTTAGATTATTATAAGTTATTAAAATATAGTATAAGATAACTTTGAGTCAAAGTTAGCTTGGATTCAGTTTATATAGGGGATTATTATTACCAAGCTCTTAATTTAAGAGTTTGGTGGAAATACATTCAGGCTGTTGTTACTAGGATCATTGCCAGCCACTAGGAAATTGCACACTACGTTCACTTGGTACTGCACACCAGGACACTGAGCGCACCCTATTTTACTGGTTTCCGCCCATACCAGTGCCGTGAAATGTCCAGTCACACCTTGGTCATTCGCGCCATTCCCGGCGTAGTCGTAGTCTTTCTCCTCAGAAGCCCTGCAAATATATTGAGACATTCAATACGTACGTATTTTGAGATAAATGTTAAATAGGATCCAGGAGTTCAAAATATTTTTAATTATATTGCTAGTTGATAGAAATATAATTTTGTTTTACCAATAATCCATGACATTTGAGCAGGTGCTAAAATCGACATCAACACTGAGGTCCGGTGCAGCTCTCCAACCCTGGGCAATATTCTCACCAGGGGCGTCGGGTGGGCACTCGGTACACAAATGGCCGGCATCCAAGTTCGGGCACCTACTCTCCGCGTAATTCACTAACTGTGCGTGGTCATAAATATTTACTATGTAGATTGGACTTATACAACATAAATACTTAAACGATCCACTATTCATGAAATAAGTAAGGTAAGCTATTACCGCAAATATTCCGGTAACCTTACACATTTATTGAACTACACCTAATTGTTTTAGTACGTACATCATTATCCATGACCAAATTTGGTGCCTGGTGATTAGCACGTATCTTGTTAACCTCGTTGAGACAGTCGTCCAGCCAGGCCTGTGTAGTCTCTATGGGTCCCGAGTCACTCGAAATAATGGCTGAGCGTATAAGCAAGTTAAAATTAGTTGGTTTACAAGTATTGAATTGTATTTATAATACCGGTTAGCGCTGATAGTAAAGTGATTGTTATAAACATATTGCTGTATTAAATTTTTATTGTAATTAACTTTATTATGATATTAATATTAAAATGTTTAGTTTTGTAAACTTTTAATTGTATTTAATTTGTGAGTGTTTGGACATTTCTTATATACCCTTTGTTTCAGTGATTTCGACACAATTTATCGGAAATTGTTATGTAATTCAATGAGTTATTGTTAAATGTGTTGTTTTAATATTTGAATAACAATTTTAGGAAAACAATTTTTATTAGTAAACAATATTTTCTAAATAATATTTTTGATTTCATGTCATTTAACCATAATTCAATTTTTCATTTTAATTCTTGATGTAATATTTTCATTCAAATATTGATTAATGAGCTACCTGCTAATTAAAAGCATTTGATTTATAATATCAGTGCCATGTTCAAATGTCATGAGACTATTTATTTGTTTATAATAAATAATTTTTAACAAATGTTAAAGATAATATATAATTTATTTTATAAGATTTACTTATACCTAGTATAGTTACGTATTTTATTACCGTAGTGTTTAATTTAATATGTCGTAAACATGTTTTTCTAAATCAATCAATTAGTTACTAGAAAATAAATTAATTTTAATGACAATTAAATATCAAGAATTATTGTGTTACCCGAGAACTTTACATCTACATTAAATTTTTATTAAACATATTTTACATAGATATTACATTAAGCTTAAAAATTTTAAGTTAAAATCCAATTAATACATAAATATACTAATAATAAAATTGATGAATAAAACCATTTCTACGGAAATACTATTCAAATGGTTTGCTTTTGCATTGATTATGGGGTCATTAATCCAGTGCATACACATGGAGACCCTGGTGAACATACTGCCACCCTTTTCACACAATTTCACACTATATATAGATTTACTCGTAATACCGATAACAACCGCCCGATTGCCGGAAAACTGAATTAACGGACCCCCGGAGTCGCCCTTAACATCAGTGGACAGGCAGTCATTAATACATATAAATTCAAATACCGCTTGACACCCAGGTATGCCTACCTTACAAACTTGTTGAGTGCTGGGAGACGTGTAAATATATCCAGGTGTATAAAACTTGGGGTATGTATCGCGGCTTATGGCCTCTGTTTGGATGGTCACCGGTATCTGTTGCAGGATTTTAACATTCGCTTCAACCTTAACATCTATGGCCCCAAAGCCGGCTACCAGTGCTCGCTCATCGTACGTGTTGGTTATGCCGGGCACCGGGAGACACGCGGTGTTTATACGGTAGTATAGACCCGACCGTCGAATACAGGGCTGACCCTTTGCTTCAGTTTTATGAGACCGATGTCGAGGGACGGGTAGCTCCGCATGTATGTGAAGTAGTAGGGGTCACCCAATTGGGTCTTATCTACTGTACCCATAAATGTCGCGTAATTTTTAATGTCGGGACTGTAATGACAATGGGATGTATGTGCGGAACAGTTAGATTAAACTAAGGAGAGAGGGAGGGAGGGAGAGAGAGAGGTCATACTCATGAATACACATTAATAAACATTGGATCAAGGATATTTAATAGTGATTTAATAAATAAATTGTTTGTAAAATATTATTTATATTTTAATAATTATGGCATTTTTTATACACTATTTTAATTTCTTATTCTTGTATAGTGTTTGTGTTATAGGATTTTAAGTGACATTTAAAATACAGATCTTAAATGTCAAACATTAGCTGATTTTGTATATTTAATTATAAATATGTTTTTATGACGTTTTTAAACACATTTTAATTTGTTTTATTTTTGTTGTCTATATGAACTTTAACATATTTAATTTTAATGTTATAATCTAAAATAGCTAGTGAATAATTAATTTTTACTTGTTTATTATTTAGTTTACTATGCTACGATTTTATTGGACATAAATTATATTTGATACTAGAGTATTTACTAGTTTATAAGCTAATAAATTGTTATTTAATGATGATTGTATACCTAATAGTAATCAATATTATTTATGATTATGAAAAATAATATTATTTATGAGAATTATTTTAGTTAAAATACAAGTCGTTTATAATAAATCATTTGTTAATCATGTGAGTGATTTTAACTATTATTTGAAAGTACCTTAAAGTCATACCATTTGTATCGTGTGTTCATTAATTTTATATTAAATGAATTAAAGTTATTATTATTTAAACATGTCATGCATACAACATAAACTGATTTCAAATACACACTTGTTTTAAATAAAATATATTATAAAATATAATAATTGTAATATTCAAACATGTTCTTGAGCAAAGTTATTTATTTTATTATTTATGTATTAAATAAATGACCTGGCTATGCCATCATTGTGTATTAGTATTATATTTAAACACATTGTCTGTTTGGTAATCATAATAAGAGTTTATAAAAGTTAGTTAAACAAATCATAATTACTCAGTAGTAATATTAGTCTATAAATGAATAAACTAGATAATAAATTGGATAATAATTTTTTTATTACATTTGTTACACATTTTATTCATAAATAAATTGTATTTTATTTAGCAATTTATCACTAGCTGTTTGCTCAACCATTGCATTCTGCGCGGGGCTCAGGTAGCCCTTCCAGTCCCCTATCTGTCCCCTTCGCATGAATTCCGCTTCATTTGGATCCCTAACCCCTAAGTCATCCCAATGTTTGTAATTAACGGACGGATTATATTTCATTTGATCGAAACTGCAGTGAAATTCAAATGCTTTCATGTCCTCATCACTGGGTCTCTGTTTTGCCATCAAATCACAGATTCTGTTGATTTGATTCGCGAAATCTCTCTTAAGATCCTCGAAATGAATGACTAAAATCTGGTTGTCTTGGGAATGGCTGTCATTCCACTGAAAAACATCCAAATAATGACTCCAAAAGGGGCCGTAAGGCACAGAGCCTGCCATAAAGCGCCCGAAGAAGTGGTTAAAGTCTTGCTTATATCCAATCAATTGATTCATACGACAAAAGTGATAGTAAGAGACGATTAAGTCTTTAGGGTTTCTGTCAAAATAAATACACATTTTATAATCAATTAAACAAAACATTTACACAAACAGTACCTAAAGATTGTGATCATCTTTGGCGCCGTTTTCTTGCCATGAATGCGATCCTCGTGTTTGTCGCCGAAGAGCAAAGTCGGCGTTAAATGAGTTTTTATGAGACGCGGACTCTTCAGGCGTTCAATGGCTTTGAGTCCAGGTATGGGAAACTCGAAGTACGGGAACCGATCGCTAATTGACTCCATCCGAGCCCTACTGAAGTCGAGGTCGTTGGCGATCAACCATACGATCTCCTGAAGCCATGTTATGCCCGACTTCGGGAACGCCGTCACCAGTAGGTCATCGGCTTTGAAGGCAAACGATTGGATGGCATTCCAGCACATGAAGACCGGTTCGGCCATCACCTGACCGTTCACTTCATACAACTCTAAGTGGCCGAACGTTTGGTCCTATTTTCAGGTACAAAGAGATCCCATTAATCGTGTGATGCCATCGTTTGATGCAATACTTGTAATCGCTTAGTGTTGGCCATCAATGGTTTGTATCATTAAACTATGTATAGATGTACAAACTTATAAAATGTTCACGATAAACTAAATTTTAATTGCATTTTATTCCTATAAATACCGTTTTTGTGACTATATTTAGAAATAATTACATATTTTTTGACATAACGTGCCACAAGTGGTAAATTAGTTGATTTTTTTGTAAATTGCCGTTTTCTACTGGAAACCAAGTTTTTGAAATAAATCAGGTTTTATTTTAATTGTATTTTAAATTTGCATTCATTTACCAGTACTTTGTATATAGAATTCATTTTTCGGTTTTTATTTCTTAATATATTTATTTCAAAAAATATTTTTTTAAATACCGTATTAACTTATCATAGAAATAAAGTAACATAACATTTACAGTGGAACAATGTTACTAAGTTATACAGGTAAAGTATATGTAATGTTGTCTCATATGAGCAAGCAAAGTCTTTACTATTGTAAGAATGCAAAACAATTATCTAGGAAGGGATGGACATAATTTTGTAGTTGATTGCCGTCCAAAGAGTTTCGGAGCCCTCATATGAGAATCTCTCTCTCTCACTCACTCACTCACTCATTCACTCACTCCTAACCTATCTATCGGACAGTTATTTAATACCATTTCATTATATCTGATGTTAGAAAGCAAATTGAGGTTTATATATAGGCTAAAAATTTAAATATTTGTCATTGATTTCGAGTGAAGTATAAAGGATTTTTAGCCTATATATAAACCTCAATTTGCTTTCTAACATCAGATATGCAGTACCGATCCATCATATATAAGGTATATATAGGGGCCGTAGGTGTGGACCATTTGGCCGTTTGGACCGTCGTATACATCCAAAACCACCCGTCCTATGACATCGGACTCATGTCACCATGTTAAATTCCTATGTACGATGGGCGTGTAGGGGGAAGGGGGTCAATTTTTGACCAAAATTTTGCGTACGTACTTTGTGCACGCCGCCCAACCGGAAAATTGATGAATGGGTGGATCGCTTGCATTGTCTGATTCTTTGGACGAATACAACGATTTATTTTATGTGAAAGTAATCCTTAAACTAATGAAATACAAAATATCTTCGCTTTCGGAGAACTCAATGAAAATATGGTAAAAATACGTTAACATAAATGCAACGGAAAAACTAATTTCTATATAAAAAGCAAAGTTTAAATTTTAAACACATTCAATACTAACCGATCATTAGCTGTATTTTTTACTTAAAATCCATGAATTTGTTGTTTATATTAATCGGTATTTTCTGACAACCACTCAATTAGTGTTACATAAACTTATTGTGTATTTATTTATAAATCTTAAGATTTCATATCATATGTGCTATCAATGGACAAACCTATCGACAGAAGCAGACCTTTTACACCCTCAGGTCACGCACAGGTAGCTAATATCCCGGCCCTCAACACGAAAAACTGTGGTTTGGTGAACAGCACTGACATTCAAAACCGTATAATCAATGGACAGCCGGCACAGAGGGGTGACTATCCCTTCATAGCATATATCGTGCATTTTACTTAATCATTGAGGGGTTCACTAGTCCTTAACCACACTAAGAAATGTGGGGCGACCCTCATCACTGACCAGTGGTTACTCACTGGCAAACATTGTATTGAAGAGTAAGTCTCTCTCTCTCTCTCTCTCTCTCTCTCCCTCTCCATTATCTCACTACCATATATATACATCCCATTCCCAAATGTAGTCCCAATACAAGCAACTATAAGATATATATGGGTGTCGTAAATATAACCCAATTAAGTGATCCGTTAGACATCGCATACTTCCGGAGCCACCCGTCCCTCGATATCGGACTTATAAGACTGAGCCAACCCGTAAGCCCTGTATTCGACGGTCGGGTCTATACTATAAACACCGCGTGTCTGCCGGCGCCCGACATTACAAACACCGGGGAAGAGGAGGCACTGGTAGCCGGCTTTGGGCGAGTATTTAATGAACATCTCATACAACGTGAATCAAAAATTATGAATCAAATACCGGTTATAATCAAACCGTACAATTGGTGTAGTTCAACATACGGTCAACATTTTAAGCAAGGTTATATATGTACGACAATAACCGCTCAAACGGCATGTTTTGTGAGTATTTTATATGAATTGTGTTATACTGTGACACAACTTATCAAGGAACTATTGAATTTCCATGAATAAGCATGGTACTAGTTTATACAATTATAACTTATTAGCCCTTCTAATAAATTACTGAATACCTGTCCAATGATATTAAGGGCGACTCCGGCTCTCACTTAATACAATTCTCGGGCAATCGTGCGGTCGTTATCGGTGTCGTGAGTGAGAGTATACCGGGAGACAGGCCTAACAAACCTGCCCTACCGTGTGGATGGGGTAGCAATATATTTGTCAGGGTTTCGAGTTGTATGGATTGGATTCAAGACACCATCACAGATACAAAGCATTCAAAAAGCAATCATTCAAATGCTATTTCCTATGAAATGGTTTTATTCATCAATTTTATGGCTTTTATTATCACTATATTTGTGTAGATATTGCGAACAATTTTCAAATTCTCATTAAATTTATTTACATTAATTATATTTGTTTACTTGTTAGGTATACATTTTAGTTTAAATGAGCAAACATGTTCAGTGATTTGTAAACAAATAATTCACAATTTATTTATTTGTTACTTTTATTAGATATAAATCATTAATACCAAAAACAACATATCCGGTAACTGACCTTTATAATTATGTAGTATTTAGTTAAATATATTGGGAATAATTGCCATTTCTTTGTGTGCATGTTTTGCTTCGCTATCAGTCCAGTTAATACGGGGTCCCATATTAAACGCTGATTTATCATATGACCAAGTTAATTTTGGTTCATACCATTGCGGCCCATATTCTAGTAGTAGTTATTTTATTTATATATTATTTTTAAAACCACTATTTATATGCTAGTTATTTACATACCGGCGGTAATCACATCTACCGGATTACAGGGCACCAGTACTTTGAGTCCAACCAATTCAGCGGAACATAGGCTAAAGTTAGGGTATATGTACCGGAAGTATGCCTTTTCTTCAGCGATATGTCCCGTATATGTCAGGTTTGGTCCGTCTCTATACATGAAGAATAAGTCGAGTCTTACGTGAGATTCCGTATAAAAAGCGAATTGCAATCCATTGTCAATATAGCCGTAAATATTGGCTAATTTGAGGACAACGTCGTTATGAATGAATGTGTCGATGAGCTGAGGGCTGGCATATGTAGCCCACGTCCCGGTGTCCACGTCTGTGGTGTAGGGAATGACACCACACTGTCTCAACCAACCCAATAGAGTGCCACTCGATATGAAAAACGGTATAAAGAGTTTCGATGTAAACGTTTTCAATGCTATCAACGCTTCCCTCACTTTACGGTCCATTGACTCGGATTTCGTGTAGTTTTTGGTCATATTTATGGCTAAACTATAGTCACATTCAATGAATTTCGATGACTTGTATTGCGATATAAAGTTAACGACTCTATCGGGTATTAAAAGTGTTATATTTGTCTTAGTTTTCAGTTTCTCTAAACCAAACGAATCGAAAGCCGACTCATGTTTGCCGTAATGAATATCTTTTGGCACAAAATTGTGATAACTTTGGCTTCGATGGACAGGTATCTCTCCCATCCATAAAAAGTCATTGCGTTTATGAAACACCGATATTTGTATGCATTCCTTATCTCTCGCGTAAAACATATGCAGAAAAGTGTTGTCTATTTGCGCGAAATCTTTGTCAAAACGCCTTTGACTGCCGTCTAAGCCATCGATTAACCGAAACTCAAACACCAATTCAGTCAACACTTGACTCAACTCTTTCTGATCATTAAAA